TCCTTATCGGATAAATGTGGCTGAATTTAAAAGGAAAAAAGTAACAGTCATGAAATGAATCACAATTTATCCTGCAATCCATCCGATTCAGCAACTGTGGGAAAGCAAATATCCAAAGTGGATCTGGATTACTTAGGCAGTGATTAGAAATTGACATTTTGTGACCAAGTTTTAAATTACTCGTAACAGGGTACCAATCAACAGAGCTAGATGGACAAAATTTTTATTGCTCTTTTTATAGCAGATTGTTTTTCCCTCAGGCAAATCTGTAATTCATGTTTAGTTTTAAAAAGAATGCTTTGAAATAACTACCTTACTTACAGTAATAGAACTCCTGCAGTGTGGAAGGAGGTCATTCAGCCCATCAAGTCTGCAATAACCCTCAGAACAGCATCTCACCCAGACCTCTACCATATCCTGTAATTCCACACTTCCCATGGCTAATCCACCTAGCCTACACATCCCTGAACATTACAGCCAATCTCAGCATGGCCAATCTACCTAACCTACACATCTTTGGATTGTGGGAGGAAAACCACACGGGGAGAACACACAAACTCCAGAGAGTCATCAAAGACTGGGATTGAGCCTGGGTCCCTCACACTATGAAGCAGCAGTGCCAACCACTGAACCACCATGTTGCCACAATTGCTCTTATTGTGGTTTCATTTAATAGAGTTCTGTTCATATTCTCAAACTTCTTAATATTATTTGTAACTGATATCTGTAGAATTTAGAAATCCAACAATGTCTATAAATTGCTTCTAATTTTGTATGGTTGACAATTACTTGAATGTCTACCAAACTGGTTTTTTCAGTGTTTACAGTTTTCTTTATAAAATGTTCTACCTTTTGGAATTCCCCAAACTAGCACCATTTCATTTCTGGAATGGTATTTTGTCAAGATGCACTGAAAATGTACACTGTCATTTAACAACAAAAGTAGTGGCCCATACGAGATCCATTCATTGTGATAATCAGTTAAAAATGATTCAAGTTTCATGATTGAATTTTATCTGTTAGAGGGAATTTGTTTTAAAAAGTATATTAGGGGCTGCATTTGCAACGAAGTGCAGTTCTAAAACAAGATTCCACTTTAAATATTCTTAACATAATTTTAGAAACTTTAATTCAGTCAAGCATTGTTTGAAAATGTTGTTTCAGTTAAATTCACAAAAACATTTGAACAACACCACTGTTATTTGCCTGCGCAACGAAGGGTTTGTGCAAGGGTCAATTTCCAAACTTGTGGATGATATAAAACTTGGAAATATTGTGAACTGTGAGAAGGACTGCATAAAATGATACAAGGCCATTACAAGTTTGAGGAGTGGGCAGATAGGTGGCAGATGAAATTCAATGCAGAGAAGTGTGAGGGGATACATTTTGGCCGAAAGAGCTTGGAGATGTAGTGCACCATAAGGGGTGCTTTCCTAAAGAGGGTGTGGAAGTAGAGAGACCTCTGTGTATATGTGCTTCAGTCATAACAAGTGGCTGGACAGGTGGAGCAAACAGCTAAGAAAGCGTCCAGCATCTTAGGCTTTATTGATGTCACCACAGAGTTGACAGCAAGGAGGTTATACTGAACTTGTTCAAGGTATTTGTTCCACTTCAGCTGGAGTAGAGTGTACGGTTCTGGATACCACACTTTAGACAGGATGTGAATGCACTTGTCAAAACAAAAGGTTTACAAGAATAGTTCCAGGGATGGGACACTTCAGTTATGATGATAGTTTGGAAGAGTGTGGGACAATATTCATTCCAGAGAAGAAGACTAAGAAAAGATTCAATAGAAGCTTTCAAAACCACGTGAGGGCTGGGCAGAATAGATGGGGAGAAACTGAGAATGAGGAACGCAGATATAAGATAATTTGAAAAAGCAGCAAATATGATGTGCAAGAAACCCTTTTTCACACAGTGAGTAGTTACAGTACAGTAAGCACTGCCTGGAAGAGTGGTAGAGGCAGGTTCAATTAAGGCACTTGATGATTATTTAAACAGCCACAATGTATCAGGTTATGGGGAGAAGAGAACAGAATCAAGTCATGATGTCATTCATTCGGAGCCGGTGCACACAATGGGCTGAATGGCCTCCTACTACACTTTAACAATTAACAATCAGAAAGATGACCAAATGTTACTCGGTTGCAGCTGGGAAGATCATTGCTAACAGATACTAGATTAATGGCTTCGTTATCCAATACCTGTAAAGTTAACAAATGAAAATATGGTGTAAAGGTTTTTTTTTGCATTTAAAGCGTCTTTTAAAACCTCAGTATATCACAGTTCCTCAGCTAATGAGCTATTTTAGTGTAGATGCTTGAAAATGTAGGAAATACAGCAGCTAATTTGTGCACAGCAAGGTACCACAAATGGCAGTGTAATGAAGACAGGATAATCCGTGATGTTTCTGGAGAGACAGATATCAGAGAGAGCACCTGCAATTACTCCCAATTCTTCTTTCAAATAGTGTCATGGGATCTTTCATACCCAGATGTAGTCTTATTTTAATGCATCTTCCAGAAAATAGGCATAGTATAGCGGTCCTTTCAAAAATTACACCCAAAATAATTATTTCATAAATTCACAACTGTAAAATAAAAGATGACCATAAAAACAGCATAACAAACCAGAAACAAAGAAAAAGAAATTGTTGGAAAAACTCAGCAGGTCCAGCAGCATTTGTGGAGACAAAGCAGAGTTAGTTTCAGGTTTGGTGACCCTTCTTCAGAACTGACTGAAGCTGGGAAAGGGTCCTAAAAAGGATCACTGGATCCGTAACGTTAATTCTGTTTTCTCTCCACAGATGGTGCCAGACCTGCTCAGTTTTTCTAGCAATTTCTGTTTTTGTTTCTGATTTCCAGCATCTGCAGTTCTTTAGTTTAGAATAATGAACTGAATTAAATTAGATGTTCACCATATTCATTATGTAATACAGAATTCATATTTGTTATCGTATTTAGATTGCATATTTGACATTATATAATATTTGTACTGCTTTTTTTTTTATTGTAAGTAACTATTAGTTACTTCAGTCTGAAATTCTGTAGTCCATAGCATCATTTGTTTAGGAGAAATTGGCATTTTCGTACAGGATGCTTAAATCAAGAAAGAATTAAAGCTCCCATGATCAGTTTAGACCACACAGTATAGGTGTAGTAGCATGGAGATTAAGGTTTACTTTTAAGGACAGGTACATGGAAGAAATAATAAAATCATTTATATGGTCATATCTAAAATATAGAAGTATGTGCATTTTATTATAGCAATTAGACTTTGCACAGCTCTGCACATTAAATTATTTATTGCAGTGCAACTTTCGGCGGACAATAGCTAAGAACTATCAAGTCAGTAAACTGCAAGAGTACCTTGGCTGGTTCAGCGAATTCTGCCAAAGCAGCAGCTCAGGCAGAGAACAGCTTTCCAAGAACTTGGGCTTGTGACAGAAACATCGTTTACGGCAACACTCCATGCGTACATAGATGGAATTTTGTGTAGCGCGGTAGAAAGGAGGGCCAGAATCTCTCACTACTTTTCTTTGTTTATCACAAGTTAATATCCATCTTTCCTTGCCCTGGAGAGCTGCCTTCTTGAACTATTGCAGTCCTTGGGATGTAGGGACAACCACAGTGTTGTTAGGAGTTCCAGATTTGCAATTTCATCAAAAAATGAAGGAACAACAATGCAATTTGAAGTTAGAATAGTGTGCGCCTTGGAGGGGAGCTTGCGGGTGGTCCCATGTATCTACAATTGTCCTCATTCTTTTAAAAGGTAGAGTTCCTGGGTTTGGAAGATGCTGTCAGAGAATTATTTGTGTTCCTGCCGTAAATGGTAACACTACTGCTACAAGAAGGGCATTAATGTTTAAGGTTGTGAATGGGTGCAGCTCCAACAACACTCAAGACGCGACCCCATCCAGGACAAAGCAGCCCGCTTCATTGGCACCACATCCACAAACATTCAGCTCTGGAGAGAGAGTCACACTCAAGAGCAGCTCAAGTTGCACCGCATAAATTGTTATGGACCAGACTAAACCTCCTCAAAATATGTCAAGAAGATAGCCTAGATCCTAACATTTTCCTTTTTTTTGCTTAAAAAAAAAGAAAAAGAGGTAAATATAAGACGTTGCATTCCAGATGCAATTCCATTAGGCAAACTACTTCACTTTAGTGTAAAAATAAAGTGTACTTGGCTTACAGTTAAACTATGGACCGAATAAAAACTAAAGAATTGGCTTAACTGAAACTATTGAAATGCTTAACAAAATATATATTAACAACTAATTAATTATTCCAATATAGTAAAATCCCATAAACACATCCTTGGCAAAGGCAAATTCTGTAAAACAGATTGTCTCACATGAAATTCTAGAAACAGGAAGAGAATCCCAGCTTTTAGCTGTAACAGAGAGAGGAATAAGAACTGTCACATCCAGCTTCAAGATCCCAGCAACTGCAGAAAGCTAAAACTAAACATCCTGGTTCTGTGGGAGCTTGAACCCACCCAGCCAGGCTGTTTCTATTGTTCCAACATTAAAAACCCAAGGCCTCACAAGTTGTTTACTTTATTGGCTTTGAGCAGACCACTCAGTTCCTCAATCTTTCTTCATAAAAGCAACAGGACAAAATATACCTCTTGAAGGCATAGTATCTTCACAAATTTCACTACCGCTCCATAGATAGCACCTTCTAAACTGATGTCCATTACCATTTTGAAAGACAAGGGCGGTAGATAAATGGGACCACCATCACCTGCAAGTTCCCCTCCAAGCCACGCACCATCCAGAGAATACACGGATGTTATTTAGTAAAGGTTATAACTACTGAAACCAGAGCAATAACCTATCCCTCTGGATTATGAATCTAGTAATGTTACCACAATGCTACACTTTTCACATCAGAATCTATTGTTTAGGACTTCGAGTTGGGATATGTTAAGGACCTGGTATGTAGCAATGTTTCACACAATCCACCACACTAATAAATAAATAGATGAAAACAAAAATCTTTAAACTTTATTCGTGCAAGTGTTTTGGTCAGTTCCTCCATACTCAAAGGTAAGAATGCTACATGATTAACGTAAAAGGGATCGTGGCACAGAAATACTTTTATTGTTTCAATCACCATTCACAAACTATTTAAAATTACATTATTGAATATCTAATCTACTGTGTTTTGCTTGAAATCTTTCAACCAGCGCAAACAAACATTATAAGATTTATATTAAGATTACACAAACTTCCAGCTAGTGAAATATAATAATCTCCGAACTTTACATGGAAAAAAAAGTATTGCACTGCAGGTAAACAGTACACTCATGCAGCTTGCGTTTGGTTCATTTGTTCAGTTAAATGTAACCGACATCCCTTGGTCACAGTTAAAACTGAGCTGAATTAAAAGCTATGCAGGAATTCAATATTCACAGCCTTTCTGCAATGTCTTTTGATATAAACATCACAAAACAGATACGCTAATTCACATTCCTGATTTTACAAGTGTAAAGTTAGTAAAGAAATCGTGGCTTCTTCATCAACACAACTGAACTATTTAACTGCTTATTGCAAAGAAAGAGGTCATTTTTACTGCAACACAACAGAAAATAGTTCTGAATTTAAAAAGAAACACTAAGTGACAAAACAGCTTCCCTATGGCAATTTCCAAGGTCATGTATTATGCTGTAGTCTTGCTTTCTTCTGGTCGGAAGGCACAGGAATATGCTGGTGACTTTTTAATCATCAGTCAAGAATCCAGTCCATAAAAGCAGTCTGAACGGATCCCCCATAATTAAATACACAAATGGTTTTCACTTCATTATTTTGACACCGATGTGGAATTTACAATATATCCAAGAGGTTACAGATATAGTGCTTCAGTGTATAATACAAGTATTTACTGTTCAAAGTCTCATTTGCAGACTAAGGAGAAAAAAAATTGCCCATATGAGAAAATACTGGATACAGCAAAAGACAACAAAATACATAGACACCGACACTATCGTCTTTACACCCATCACACAGGAAACACAATATACACACAAAAATATTAAGTGCAAATATCTTTGGAAGTTAGAATAAAATAATTACCAGAACAAAATTGTTTAAAAAGGCAAAAAATTTACTTCAAGTACAAGATTTTTGACCGACAAGAGGTCAATTTAGTGTAAATGGACTGTCTTGCTTCAAATCACTTCTTCCTCTGGAACACATTTGCCAACATTGCACCAGAAGTGGAGAGCTGGCCCATTTTATTCAAGAACCTTGTCTTTGTGTCTTCACTTACAAGACTTGCAGCAATAGACATAGAGCTGAAGTAACAAACAAAAGACATAACTTGAGATTATGTTGAATTTGGTTGAAAACATGCTGCAAGTTCATTAACTGTTACATATTAAATAACTTTTCATCACCACAGGATTTGCATTTCATTTAAAGATACTATTTTCCACCTCAAGTTACACATCAACTTACAGTCTTTTCCAACCTACGTTAAAATTCCAAACCGCTGAAACAAAAATAAATCAACAATTGCAGGGTTAAAATACAACAGGCTAAAAATTCACCAAATATGAGAACGCCACCACCTCCAAGTTCTTCTCTAAGCCCATCACCATCCTGCCTTGGAAATATATTGTAGTTCCTTCAATAGTGCTCGGTTTTGTATACTTTTCACTGTATGCCTGTTTTTGGAGTACATGTGATAGTAAAACTCAATTCTAATTCTCTCCCTAAGGGCATTGAGAGTCTACCTACAGCACATGGACAGCAGAGGTTCAAGGTGGCAGCTCATCACCACCTTCTCAAGGGCAACTAGGGACAGGCAATAGATGCCCACATCCCTGAATGGAAAAACAAAACCAGTTTAATGGTTGTATAAAATTTTGATCTAATGGTGCCTTCTGGACTGTTTCAGTGATATCCAGTGTGAAATGGAACATCAGTGGAAAACAGCCTTAGTCTTTCAGAAGTTAGGCTGCATTCTTGCTTGGAATGTAATGCAAGGATTGCACTGTCAATGATCAAAAGTCATTACTTGCATGGCATACCCAGCCCATTTCAAGTTGCTACTGGAAACAGCAACATCAGTTCATCTACAGTTTACAGAAGCATCAAGCGAGTAACTGATTGGGCAAGTTGGGCCAGTGTACTCTGGAGTTTCAAAGAATGAGACATGATCTCATTGAAATTTACAAATATTTAAAGGGATAGAAAGGGTAGGTGAAAGTAAGATCCCAGAATCACAGAACTGTTACAGTGCAAAAGGAGGCGATTTGGCTGATTGTGCCTGCACTGGTCCTGAAACCTAATGCTGATTTCCTGTCTCTTCTCCAATGCCCTGAACTCAATTTCTATTCAAATAATTATCCAATGCCTTCTGATGTTTCCCCTGGTTGGGGAATCTAGACCCACAGGGTACAATTTAAAATCAAGGGGGATGCCATTTAGGCATGAGATGAGGAGAAATTCATTTACTCAGAAGGTTGTGAAACTTTGGAATTCTCTACTAGACAGGGCTGTAGATTCTCAGTTTTTTCAGTACGTTTAGGGTAAAGATTGACAGACTTCTGATTACCAGTGACATACAGAGTTATGGGGGTGAGTAAAAGATGTTGGTGTTTGCTCAGCCATGCTCATTAGTGCCAGGGTAGGCTTGATGGGCTGAATGGACTACTCCTGTTCCTATGATCTACTAGACAGAGGGAAGTTAATTTTATAAACTTTTCCCCTGCCACATGAAAGTAGAGGCACAAGGAGAGAAATGTGCAATTTTTCTACACTGAATATTTCTTAAGATTGGTGGGGTCGCTGATGGGAGGTCATCTTCTGAAGTCCTGCACACATTTGCACCTTCATGAAAATTCAACTATTAAAACATGATCTGTTGGAGAAAGTCTCCTTCCCTTTGTTTTAAAGCACTAGAGATGGAGTACTTAATGGAAAAATATGACTGCGACATTGCCTACTTGGAAACTGACGCTTACTTTTTGAACAGCTTACAGCTACGACAGCAAAGCACAGATACAACCCAGCTTGTTAAAACACTTCAGATATTCGGACAGACAGGGGGTGCCTCCAGTACAGTCTATCCATTTACACTATGCACCACAACTTGCCACATTAAAGCAAAGGACCACATGGACGTTCATTTGAAAACTCAAATAATCTGAAACGCTAACCCATTTTTAGAGGTCTGTCATAAAAACCCGAAAGAACGGTGGATGCTGTAAATCAGAGACAAAAATAGAAATTGCTGGAAAAGCTCAGCAGGTCTGGCAGCACCTGTGGAGAAAAATCAGAGTTAATGTTTCAGGTCGAGTGACCCTTCCTCAGAACCTCTCCCCACAGATGTTGCCTGATCTGAACATTTCTAGCAATTTTTGTTTTTATTCTGCTTGAATTTTTTTTTTTGTTTTAAAAACACATTTTTAAATTCCAGGCAGAAAGCAGCAGACATCTCTGGAGTTTGTCCGATTTATGTTTAAAGGTAGAAAAGAATGTTCCCAGGTTTTACATAAAGCAGGCCAAAATGCTTCCGTAAGTGACACTTAGACAGAAATTTTCTCTGCCTTTCTATCCTGAAAGGTAATGATAAGATTCTAGCAAAACTACGGTCTAGCCACAGAAAGTGTAGTCTGATGAAATGCAACTTTTTTGAGACACTTGAGGTTTAGAAGTAAAATCGTTTATTCTCATTCACTCCCCCATCTCCATCAGAAGTTTGGCTATCTTATCAGAACATCAAACTACGTCCTTTGTCATGATTATGTCATGTCACCCTGCTTTTCCCAATCCCTAAAATGAAACCAAGAACTGTGGATGCTGGAGATCTGAAACAAACAGACAGAAATCACTGCAGAATCTCAGCGGGTCTGACAGCTTCTGTGAACGGAGAAACGGTTAACATTTGGCATCTACCTGCTCACTCCTTTCCCCTCCCCCCTCCTACACTCCCCACACCTCTGCCAATCAGCACAACACCACCTTTCCTAGCTGCCATCAGTTCTCAAGAAGGGTCACTGGGCTTAAAACATTAACTCTGTTTTTCTCTTCACAGGTACTGCCCGAACTTACCAAGTTTCTCCAGCAATTTCTGTTTTTGTTTCCCAATCCCTTGGCGGTCTCACCAACATAAACAACAGATTGTGAATAGTTACCTCTGGGGCTCTTGGGCTGTCCTGTTTTCTACCTTCTGTTCACATTCCTTAATCATGGAGCCGAGAATAACCTGAAAGGGAGCACAGCGAGTAGCACCTCAACTTTTATTATTTTAATACATGTAGCATATATTTGCACACGAAACAACTAATTGTATTTGTCCAGCACCTTTCATGACAGCCAACCAAGTATCCTGGAAGTGTGTATGCTTTCCTTCCGTAGTGACATTGAGTCAACCCAGAATCAGGCCAGTTGCAGCCAAAGTGGTCAATGCCAACATTTATTCTCCACAAAAGCCTCCTTCCATCCTACCTGCCCTTGTGTTTATGGTCATTTGAAAACATCTTGCTCTTAACTCTGTTTTTCAGAGAGTTTCACACTTTGCCCTTGGATACTGCAAACATTAACTGCAGAAGGACTGATGTTTGGTGCATTTTTTTTTCTTTCAGTTTACGCAAAAGTACCATAAATCATACGCAAGGGCAGTTGCAGATCTCCACTTTACCAACGTTCCATACTTCTAAACCATTTCCAAATCCAAACCAGATGAAGAATGCCCTAACGTAGTAAGTATTTCAAGTTTCTAGATGCTTTTGGATAACTGGATATTTGTCTGCCTATTCTCCTATTAATTCAATCATAGCTGATAATCACAAAGGGAGTCATAGCTTTTGAGTGTGAATAGATTATAAAACACATAGCTGGAACATGACATGCAAGGCTAGGTTACTTCGATACTCAAAAGGCAAATTGCACTGATCGCTTGTTTCATTTTGGCACTGACACATCATCCACTGTTGAAAGAAGAAATGACTGAAAATTCACACTATTCTACTCAATAAGCAGTCCGAGGGGTTCTAAGCTGGTATATCTATACAAGGGCACCATTGTGGGTTGGTCAATGAGCCACCTGGGATACTGGCTTGAAGCTCGTGAATGATTCTTTGTGCATGGAGAAGGATGGAACAACACAAAATGAATGTTTCAAAACCACCCAGAGAGTGACCAGCAAATGACCTTGACCTTGGTATTTGGAGATGCAGGCAGAAGCACAGCCTGACACAGTGAGCACACCAGTTAGTAACTCTTCTTGTTTAAGTGCTTGCACCGTGCAGTCCAGCTGAAGTTTGTCCCCGCAGCAGTAAGACAGATGCTGAAGGCCCAGCCTACAACTATTAATATCAAATTAAACCAAACATGATGCAGGAGGGAAGCTCCATGTAGTCAGTTGTAATAACTTTCACTCTCAGGTTGTGAATGTGGGAATGATCAATATTGCAACAAAAAAAACAAAAAAACAACAAATAGGTACTTGAAACAAACAGATCTGCAGTGTTAGTGGATGAAATGAGGGCAACTAGCCAGTATAGACTGGACAGGCTGAATGGTCTCTGCCTGTGCCCTAAACAACAACGAAGCTATGACAGAACAGGAGGCCAAAATATCAAACATTTTACTTAGTTTAGTTTTTGAAGGTCCTACATTCCACTTTTTGCTTAACCAAGTCTTAAAATTGAATTTACAATAGAGAAAAACAACTTGGATTGGGAAAAGTTGCAGTTAATTTGTACAGTCAAGTAATATCATAGGTAAGTCACATGGAAGATAATAGAGAAAAAAAAGCAAATGTAACCATGACAATAAACATTAAGTAAGACCTGTTTCTTTATACTGTTTCCCCTGAACCATGTGTAAGATTTGCATTCGGCAGTTTGTGTGCTCAAGTGTGACTGACGTGCACGCATTGAGGGAGTTTCACACTCCATCTGGTTCAGGTTGTACTTAACCCAAGATTGTCCAGTGCTGTGTGCGTCTGCGCTACCTTGCCAAATGCGCATCATGGCTTAGTGCCACTCTCGTGCCTTTTCCCCATATCCAAATGCATTGTTTCTATTCAATGAATCATCCAATACCCACTTGAATGGCTCCACTGACTCGGTCCCTACCATATTTCCAGGCAATGCATTCCAGGTTGGAAACACTCGCTATGTGAAAGCTTTTTTTTTCCCCCCCAAGATCACATTTGTGATGTTTGCAGATCACTTTCAATCTCTGCCATTCTCTGGGAACAGTTTTTCCCTAGCTACTCTACCCAGACCTCTCAACTTTGCAAACTTTCATCAGATTTCCTCTTAGCCTGCTTGTCTCCAATGAGAACAGTCCCACCTTCTCAAATACATTCTCATAACTGAAGCTTTTCATTCCTGAAACCATTTGTGTGAATTTTTTCTGCACTCTCTACAATGCATTCACACCCTTCTTGCAGTGTGGCACCCAGAGCTGTACACAATCCCCCAGCTGCGATCAAACAAATGTATAAATTAAGCATAACCTCCTTGCACATGTACTCCATGCCTCTATTAAAGCAGCCCTGGGTATTATCTGCATTAACTGCTCTCTCTACCGGTCCTGCCACCTTCATAATCCAGGCACATCTACACCCATGCCCCTCTGCTCTAGTAACCCTTTAAATAATGCATTCCATGTTTTATAATATCTATCAATGTTTTCATGTCAAAATTAATCATTTCACACTTCTCTGCATTGAACTTCATCTGTCACCCATCTGCCCACAACACAAACTTGTCACTGTCCTTTTGGAGTTCTACACACACTTCCTCAATTTAGCATGTATCCATGTGGTACTGCCTCTTTCAATCTATGAGCTACATGTCATGTTTTCTCACAAGTCTGTTATGTTTTTTTCCCTTTATTCATTCACGGGTTTAGGGAGTCACTGACCAAGCAGCATTTATTGCCCATCCCTAATTGCCCAGAGGGCAGTTAAGAGTCAACCACATTGATGTGGGTCTGGCATCACCTGTAGACCAGACCAGGTAAGGATGGCAGTTTCCTTCCCTAAAGGGCATTAGTGAACCAGATGGGGTTTTCCTGACAATCAACAATGGACACCATTAGATTCTTAATCCAGATATTTACTGGATTCAAATTCCAACATCTGCTGTGGCAGGATTCGAACCCAGGTCCCCAGAACATTACGTGGGTCTCTGAACTAACATCCCCAGTGATAATGCCAGTAGGCCATAGTCCCACATGGGGAGGCAATGTCGAATACTTTTTGACAGTCCACATAAAAGAACATGAACAGCAGTACTCTCATAAACCCTCTGTTACTTCAAAAACCTCCAGCAATTTAGTCAAACATAATTTGCCCTTTAGAAATCCACGCTGGATCTTCCTCAACTATCCACTTTTAATCGATGCAGCTACTACATATAACCCAAAAAGTCATATGCAGAAGTTTCTCCAGCACTGAATTTAAACTGACTGTTCTGTAATTGCTGGGCATGTCCTTACAAACCATTTTGAAAAAGATAATAATATTTGCATTCTTGATGCCCTCTGGTACTTCCCAAATCTAGTGAACACTGAAAGATACGACAAGTGCACCTGCAATTTTCCACCCTTACCTCCCTCAACACCCTTGGGTGGATTTCATCCAGTACCGGTGCCTTGATAACTTTAAAGTATCAATAGCCAATCCAATTTAATTCTTTGTCAATTTGAACACTTCTAGTGACAGAGCTTCCTGCAGTCTCACCTGGGCAACATTGACCTTCTTGGTTGATACAGACACAAAGTACTCTTTTAACAGCTAAATCATTAATCTTGCCTTGTGTGTAAATCCCCTCTTTTAGTCCATGATCAGCCCTACACCTCCTTTTACCAGTCTTTTACTATTTATTTGCCTAAAGACAACTTTGGGATTCTCCTTCATGTTATCTGTCAGTCTTTCCTCGTAATTCTTCAATAGGCTTAGTTTAGGGTGCAGATTCCCTTTCTCAAAGAGCATTAGTGAACCAGGTAGGTTTCAATGACAATCGGCAGTCATCAGGCCATTTTTTTATGGAATTCAAATTTTGTCACTTGCCGTGGTGGGATTTGACTTCATGTCCCCAGAACATTAGACTGAAGCTCTGGATTACTAATCCAGTAACTTGACAACCACTCCACCAACATCCTTCACTTTGAATTCTGGTTGGGGCGGATGGGTTGCTGGTCATTTGTGCTGAAACAATAAACTACATATGTCAATTATTCAATAATGGAGTGCTCGTCAGCTACATATAAAGGAGATGGGGGTGGGCGGGGAGGGGGAGTGCACGGGATCACTTAATTTGTCGGTACAAACCTCATGCTCTGGCGAAAGGTGCTCCATATCCGTTCGCAAACACTTCAGTCCAGGGAGAAAATGGCATACCATCAGTTCTTCCGAAATAACTGAAAGCACAACTGTTAAGGATAGTTACCTTCCAACTTCATTTTAAAATACACTGACTAACCATTTTAATGCCACCAAATAGCTTCCGGTTTGAAAACATGAGCACATTCACAGTCTTAGGACACAGCTCCTTTCAAAAAAAAAAATCAGAGTTTTAATAAAAATTACTGTCAGAGAAATAGGAGGGTGACAGAACATGAAGAATTTACGCAAAGCTATTGTATGGCTACCAGTCCATCATTCACCTCCCCTGAATGAGTAATGAAATTTTCTGATAACATTACACTTTATTCAACATAGCACTCACATTTAAAATAAGGCAACACATTAAAAACTAATTACAAACTAGGCATTAGGAATGATCATAAGAGAGATTAAGATACATATTGGGTTATAAAATTGTAAACGGAATGACTAAATGGACAGTCTTGGTTTCTGGCCAAACATTTGTATTTTTTCACATTTATCTGAAACATAGCAAGTTCTTTGAAGTTAAAAGCTGTGAAACATAAGCCCCGAGTAATTGCTCTATTCCCCAAGGCTTTGACAGAATTCATAAGACCATAAAAGTTTTAACAAGCTTTAAAATGATTCATTATTTTTGCAGTCTCATAAATCAGTGTTTGGAAATTACTTTGAGGCTAAGAGATTCGGATGACTGATTCAGATTTAGAACACTGGATGGCATGAAAAGAAAAGCTATACATTTTTGAATTAGTATTCTTCAAAATGAAGTATGTTTACAAATTTTAGAAATGGACCCATTACCCAGATCCTGAGCTTTTCTTAGCATTTCTTCCACTAATTAAACTTTGAATGATTTTGCCATGAACTGGTTGTAATGTTAACTATAAGACACTGGAAACTAACTGTCAAACTTAATTACTGTCAATTTCTGGGTGGGGAAAAGGTGTAGGTTATGTAGAAGAAATGGGAAAGACTGCCTAAATTTACTTTGGTTCATCTTGCTTCTGCATTTTTCACAAAAAAAAGTTGATTGTCTTCTAAACCCGTGCAGTCCTTTTAAAAGTTAAAATCAGGAGCTTTAAGTTAAAACTACAATGTTTTCTATAAGAAAGTAGAGCTGATAATGAAGAAATGTTGTTGTTTTTCCTGGCCATGGAGGAACAGCCAGTCATTCATAGTGGTCTAATTCAGAATAGGTGGACAACCATATACAATATCAAGATGGAAAAATAAAATCAAAAGATGAGGGTGCTGTTCCTGAATACATTTAACAGTCCTTCACACTCAAAGTGTTTGATACTCTCAGACTGTAAACAAAAATAGAAAGTGCTAAGAGACTTAGCAGGTTTGGCAGCATCTGTTGAGGGGAGATTGGTGGGGGGAAAAGAGTTGGGGGGGTGAAGAGAGAGACAGAGACAGAAAAACAGAGTTAATGTTACAGGTTATAAACACAAAGAGCTGGAGAAACTCAGGAGGTTTGGCAGTAACTGTGGAGAGATACAGGGTTAATGTCTTGAGTACAACAGGATTCTTCTTTTTAACACCAAATTTAAGTTTCTCCAGCACTACATTTTTCCCAGATATTGAGCATGCACAGTATTTTGCTTTTGTTGTAGATTTTAACATTTTATTTTCTCTTTTGCTTTTGGTTTTATCCTCTCATTGTTAGCTCCTAATGATGGACAGATGATTTTGCTACCCACACTTACCGTATATATAGATCCTTCCTACAAAAATAAAAAAGGTCCCATTACAATTCCTTTTGTACTAGCACAATGAACACTTCTGCCATTTAATCTCTCCCACCTAGAACTCCACTATATCTAATCTAGTTCTTACATTGTGGAATTTATCTCTGGTCCACCACTGTCTGACAAAATAATTTCTAAATGTGGACACAGTCTCGTCCAGTCATTATTTTTATATGCCTTGATTCAATCATTTGAGTCCAGGATGGGGACCAGAACAGGTAAAACTACAATCATATTGATGTGTAATATATGATACAACTCCTTACTTGGGAAGTTTACAAAAGTGTTAGCTTGGATCTATCTGGCTGCACATGGCTCAGGTCCAAAACAGAGTTCTAATGACAAGGTACATGAAAATTCTCTGCATGTGTTCAAATACTCTCACTTATGTAATTAGCTGTTTTAAAAATATATTTCTCTTAAATCAAAGGTTATAAAAAAATATTACTTAACAATTTATTAGTTAAATAAACCACAAGCAAATTAAGAGCTGCTGAAATGCTTAAACTTAGAAGTAATCTTTGTTCATACAAATGCATTAACCAGTGATGGGATTAAAAATATAAATGGTAATTAAATAAAAACAATTTAAATGGAGGCATTCAAATTTTTCGGAAGGGTAATGCTTTTCCCAATTCACTTGTATGAGGTCAGCGTAAACATTAGGTGCATTATAGAAAAGGATACAGCAACAGGACAATGCACTATAGGCTTCAAACAACTGAATGGCAATGTCCAATCTTTTTGTGTCAATTGCTTGCTGGTTGTTTGAGATCGCCAACTTGTGTAGGTTAGGGAGAACAACTGTGTAAAAAGGGGGGAAAAAAGACAGTGGGTAACTTTTGTTTTAAAATGGAAGGTGAACCTGCCTTTTCTTTTACATAGAACATTACATCTTCATTTAGCATGTGCTGAGGGTCTGCATCAAAAAACAGACCCAGCCAAACAAACCCTTGTATAAAGCCAGCTATTTGTATGCCTCATTTCAGCTTCTCCTGCTTTTCCTCCAAATGTTTTATTTTTAATGTATGGGAAAGTACCTGGTTTCCACTTCAAGACTTGCAGCTCACATGCAAAGCAAAGTGCATGGAGGCAGGCTACAAGAGCATAAGATGTAGGAACTGAATCAAGCCATTCCACCCATCGAGTCTGCTGCACCATTTGATTATGGCTGATGTTTCTCAACCCCATTTTCCTGCCTTCCCCCTGTAACTAGTGATCCCCTTATTAATCAACAACCTATTTCTGTCTTAAATACACTCAATGATTTGGCCTCCACAGCCTTCTGTGGCAATGACTTCCAGAGTTACTGGAGCACTGATGTAACACTGAGATCATCTTTCCCTTTCTGCTCCCCATTTAGTTAACATTTTAATTTCCTGCTAACATCTCTTTTGTACCCTTTCAGTCATCACAACATAGGGAAGGGTCTCACTGTTTGACTTCTCCTACAATATAAATGGGAAATCGGATTCTAATAAGCCACATGTGCAATAAAATAAATTACACTGTGGAACCAGGACAGACCGACAGCATACAGGCAGTATGCGAACTCCGCCACATGGGATAGCTAGTGAGTGAGATGAAGTTACAGTGCCATAATTTATTTGAAGTCTGGCAAGTGTTACAAGGATCTATATTGTCAACAGGAAAAAAAAAAGTCAACTATACAAAGAAGACCAGTTATTCTTCCTATCAATGGAATAATTTATATATAAAAACAAAGATATTCAATTATCACTAGTGACTCTTTCCAAGACAAGGAGTAATGTGGTGCCCACTCAACTATATATACAATTACAGTTACAATAAAACATGCCTGCCAAAGGCAGACATCTTGACTTTTATGGAAGTAAGGTGTCATTTTCTTTTCTTTCTTGCACTTGATCTAATTCCTTCACCACTCCTTGCATTACAGAGGTTGAGGACCATCTACGTACTGAAGGTCTCAGAATTTATCCAGATATTACCAACGTACAATCTCTGGAATACCTCCAAATAATAGTTAATCTACATATTAACTTTTGATGCAAAACCTGTTAAAGCTTAATATGTAATTAAAAGTATGAATTCTGGTATTGGTGAGGAAAGCAAGGTGATGTACAGCATTAAAAAACAAACATACATTCATCCCTAAATCTTGGTTCAGCATTCGGCCCAACTCTTCCAAAAGTCTTGATTATTTCCACGTGCAGAGAGTGTTGATCATGGTACTGTGGATCTTCAAGAAACGAAGCCAACTGCATCTTGACTCTTTCCAAAAGCTGTTAAAATGAAGTGGAGGGAGTCAATTAGCATTTAAACACCCAGGCTGCTACAAAAAAATTTGAATCTCGGTCATTTCATATTGCATTCTTGCTAAAGACAGAGCCAAAAACTTGTTAAACAATGGACTCTATTCCTATTCTGACTGTGTTATGATCCCAGTTGATGGTACTACTGAACAGATCAGATTCCAAAAGAAACCTAGCTTGATAGATCTTTTTATTTTTGTTTTGTTAGTTAACATGGTCAGTCATTTTCATATGAGGCTGCAGTGTTTTTTTAAAAAACAAAGTTTATTATAGAAAAGAAGAAATAAAAAGTTATCTAAATACAGAAGACAGTTAGAAGGATACCACAACATACACCAAACAGTTTTTACGTTTCCCGATGCCATTATAGAGACTCAGGTCCAGAGAAATTACAATCCCGATCTTAGATTTTTAGGGTTCGACTTAACTGACTCCATCCAGGCTCTTTCCTTTGGATTGTGCGAAGAGTTTACTGAGTCCTTTCCAAATCTGTCAACGTGAACTTTTCACAAATTACAGAACTTCAACTTTGACAGTTTAAATGACCTTCAGGTTTCTAACCAAACTCTCCTGGCTTGAAAGCTTCATAAACTAAATCCTTCTGCTATGGTGCCTTCTTCCCTGCCACAATTACTACTTCTATGATGGAAGGTAAACTGGCAGCTAAACTCAACACTGGGGAGAGAACATTACTGCAGATGTTGGAATCTGTACTGAAAACAAAAACAAACAAAAAAAAAAATGCTGGAAATCACAGTGGGTCAGACAGCATCCACGGAGAGACAGCAAGCTAACAGCTCTGATGAAGGGTCATCTAGACTCAAAATGTTAGCTTGCTCTATGCCCATAGATGCTATGTGACCCATGGATTTCCAGCACTTTTTGTTTTCAGTCAACACTGATGACTTCTGAACTGAATTAATAAATAAACTTGCTCACCCTAGATTCTTTTGAATTGAAAACACAGTTAATGACCTTACATGCATATACTACAGGTCATAAACCCAACGGTGTAAACACCTTTCTTTTAACGCCATAGAGTCTGCAGTCTCCTACTCTCTGACAAAATGTTGGAATTAAACACTTTTCCAGAAGGACTCCCTGAACTTGTTTTTGTTTTGGAAAAGAAAACCCTTCACAGAAATAACCAACACCCAGCTGCCTTTATTCTGAAATCTAAATTCCAAAAATATTAATACATGTATAAAAGTTATACACCTATCACCACATCAGGATAATCTTCAGTTGCTGAAAAAAAACAAGTTAACTGGCATCAAAAACAGGAAACATATAGCACATCAATCAGTAACCTGGAAAAAGAAAAGCTGGGCATGGGTCACTAGTTAATTGGACTCTTTACAAGTGCTGTGAATGTCTATCCAGTGACCATGATCAATTCTTCTCTCTTCAGCTTTGCAAAGCCCCGTAAAAGTGTCTCATCTGTCTTTGTGCAATCCTTACAAAAGAAACTTCACCCAAACCTAACACTTTTTAAAAAAAATATACTGTTAATTTCCACTATTTCAGCCTTGACTTGGCTTAAATCATCAACTTGTGTTGTTTATGGATCTTTTCACCATAATTTTAATGCATGTACAAAATTAATTATTTTTAGTCAGTCTTCATCATTAACTTAAAACTAGACACAATGCCCGAAATACTCAGCAGGTCTGGCAGCATCTGTGAAGACATACAGATACAATACATTTCAGGCCAACAGCCTTACTCAGAACTGAAAAAAAGTTACAGATATGACTGACTTTAAGCAAGTGCATTTAATTTCTCTTTGTGATTGACCATTCCCTTTAACTCTTTTGTTTTATTTGCACTTGCTTGAAGTCTGTTTCACTTGTTAAAGAGTTTCCACTTCTGAAAAAACATCAATAAGCCAAAACTTGAACTATTTCTATGTTCACAGATGCTGCCAGATCTATTGAGTTTTTCCTGTGTCTTCTATTTATACCTGAAACACTTGGCTTTAGGATGATCAGTTTGCCTTGAAGCATGTAATAAATCACAAAGGCATTCAATGTTTCAAGCTCAACTGTTTTCTTCAAGTCTGTATCGGATCATTGTATCAAATAATGGGCATTGTATCTATTATGTATTATAGTTACAACCTGCCAGGTCTGAGGTGTTAAACAACAAATAGACACAGTGCAACAGATATTCAAATCAGTTTGTCTTTTATGACTGTACCTCTCTCTGGGTTACTGTTTCCATAATAGTGCCAAAAGCAGGTATTGTAGCTATTCGTACTGAGCTGGAAAGAGGAAGAAAAGTGTTAGCATCTTTGCACCTCCATAAAGTATCAATGTAAAATATACACATATTTGCAGTATAAGTTAGTGTGTAAGTTTTGTTAGACTGTTTAAACATAAACGTTAGTGTGAATAAAATCTAAAATATACAATTTCCTCATCAGCACTTCATAGATGTCAGAGATGGTGACTGCAGAGTACGTCAAACATTTATATTACAAAAGGCAACATGTTCAAATATGAACTGTGATGCATTTGAGCACAACTTACAAAGGGAAGCTAATTTAATAAGGTTTAAGCAACAGATTGCTATAAACAGAATTATCAGTTGGTCAGCTATCAAATCTGGCGAGAATACTGCAATGTTATTTCACAGAAGTCAGTGTCAAAATTGACAGTTAGGTTTCTTGCTCTCTTCTGCTTTTTTTTTCTGTTTAAGTCTATGGTCTCAGTCTGAACAACTCACAATTCAAGGTCACTGGATAAGGTAACAAGAGCCGGTGCAACCCGCTTGTCAATTAAGGCTTCATTCATGCCTCGCACGATCAGCTGTAACCAGTCAAAAAAAAAATGCAACAAAAATAAAACAAAACAACACATTGATGAAAAGGATTGATTAGTTAACAGAGAATGAGCACTCAGACTCTCAGTTCATTCAAGGAAGTATTCACACACGATAAAGGCAAGGCATATGGCACATGCTCAACAGCTAGTTAATATCAACCTGTGAGAAATTAGTTGGTTAAACAAAATCCACGCATCCCTTTTGCTCTGAAAAAAAAATCACCCGTCTAATTTGATATTTTGCTAAAATAGCTGTATTGGGAGGCCAGATTTCATTAGATTTGAAGTTTATGGAAGTAAATGACAGGCAAAACAGAAATAACAGAAGTTTGGAACCACTGTGCCAATCAATACGAAAGATTTCTCTGTGGTAAAACCAATGTATCTGAAGGTGGTGACTTCAGCCACAAAAACTTGTTACACAACAAAAACTCATCAACCTCAATTAAAACATTGCATAATTGGGGCTTATTTGCATGACACGCAAAGTGCTTTTCTCAAGATTTTGAATGACATTGATGTGAATGATTACAAAAATGGATCGAGTTATTTACAAAGCTCATTGTTCCCAGTGTTCCACAATCTCAAAACTGGGACAAGGAGCCATGCGTTGCAAAACAAGCATGTTTTAGTCACAGTCAATTCTAACATAAGCTTGCACATTTAACAATGCCTGCAGCAGCTGGTTACAAGATTAGCTGTGCATCGCTGCAGTGAGAGTAAGTGAACAAATCAAAGGGTGATTTCTCAGCAAAGTACCGAAAAGTGATGCGCTTTAACCGGTTAGGAAGAAACTTACATTTCAGGGTCACTGGAGAGAGTGATAAGAGCAGGGACAACTCTCTGGGCTACCAGAGTTTCATTCACCCCCTTCACCAACAGCTGATTGGGCAGAACAAGGGATGTCACATGTGATACGTAGAAAGAGTGAGCAGAGTATCATGGGAAGTAGCATGGCACATCGAAGAGAGAGAAGAACAAAAGAGCAAACAAAAATTAGAGAAGCAACAATTTCTACAGAACAGCTCAACATTTACAGGGTTTGAAACACTACAGCAGCTCAAAATTTCTATGAAATAGCAACACATACCAAAGCTGATCAGCTGATCTCTCAGATTTATTTCCGAAAAGAATCCCACAATATCAAACAAAAACTGATAATTAGCTGTCTCACATCTATAACATTGGAGGAATTATTTTATATTAATATTGCTGCCCACAGAAGTAATCCAATATAAAAAAAAACAACTTTCTGGCCTACTTATTAAGGAATAATTCAAAGCGCATCTAAATCCCTACAGTGCATTTTGGGTGTGTGAAATAAAAAAATTATTAGAGGTTACCACTTGCATCAAATTTATTCCTCAAATGACAGAAACTGAGCTCAAAAAATTATTTTTTTCCAAATAATAACATATATAAACAAACTTTACCAGGGCCAGTATACAGTGAGTGGATAGATGTGCATTACAAAGTCTACTTTTTCTGGGTATATCCCTGGGATTAGTCATTCAATGACAGATCAAGTTCTAACTGTAACGTTCTAGATTCCACAACCTGCTGGCTACCGGTTAGTAAATATACTTAATAATGTAGCTTAAAACACATTTTCCCCCTATAAAATGAAGGGTAAATGTGAAATGAGAACCTCATTTATAAAAATAAAAATATCCAATGAGCCTGCTTTGCCATTCAATTTCAAAGCTGATTTTCCTCCATGTCATATTCCTGACCTATTGGATGCCTTAGTTTCCAAAAATCTCCCAATTGTTATTTTGAATATGCTCATCTGTCTGCAGCTCTCAGAGTCAAAGAATCCTTCTCATCTTAGACCTAAATAGTGATTTATTGCCACGAGACATAGCCTCTTAACTCCTTCCCCTCCCTAGATTTTCCATTCACAGTAAATAGACTCTCAGACTCTAGTCTGTCAAGTCATACCCACAAAGGCCACCACCAACATCCCCACTCCGCTGAAACTTCTTCCCCGAATTTGAAATTGAAGTACTACCAGCAGACACAGTCTTGCAGTGCACAACGCTGTTCAAAAATATCTGTGTTGAATCAGGTCTGCCAGCTTTGGTAAGGTACAGAAGCACAAAAGGATCTCACCCTGGCAGACAAAGCTTACATTTTAAAGCAAGGAAGAATCTAAAAAACACTTTGATCGACTAAAACACAGTAGCTGATAACAAAAGTAATAATTGCAATCACACACAATTCTACGTTAATAGATATTTCACTACGGTAACATTTTATATTGAAGTCATTCAACTCCCATTCGGCTGTACTCGAGAACGGCAAGTACTGCCCTATTAATATCTATATTACGTAGAATATCAATAGCATTTTCAGGAAGCTGATTTTTTTTACATTTGATTTTTGTTAAAGAATGATTTCATTGAAATTCTTACCTCAAACATTCTAGCAGCAGTGCATCTAACAAGCGCTGAAGTGTGCACAACACCATACCACAAAACTGTTAACAGCAGCTCATGGTATGCTGGATTTGCTCTAGCAAAATAAGCAGAATTAGAAAGATCAGACTTAAAACAATTAATCGAACATTTAAGTGCTTTTGGGAAAGCCATATCCTTCCTATACAGACTCAACTCCAATAGTGTTTTCCCCTCCCACTACTCCTCTGCTACCCACAAACATTCCAGATTTCTGATGAAAGCATTTTAAACAAAAGTAATTGTTCAGACAGCCCTCTTTGACACCTACTTTACAATCATGATTGAAGTTGCAGGATTATGTTGATCAAGAAGGTTAAAACTACAATGGGAAATTCCAGTCTTTAGCCAAAATAAAAATGAGATGAATCAGTTTGGAGCAACTCTCTGCTCAAAGAAATTAAAATAATTTTGGCTGTCACGAACCAATTAAACTAATCAAAAAGTACAGAATGAATAGAATAGACATGTCAGTTCTCTACTTCTGGCCACTTAGGAATCCTTCAGTGATCACAGTAAATCCAAACAGATCAAAGTGGAAATTAAAACAATTGATTGATTCCATTGGGAAATAAGTAGTTAGGATAGAAAAGGAACCTACAACATCAGAACCAACTCTCCAAAAGATGCTGAAACGGTGTGGAGCTTCCAAGGCAGGACAATCAAAGTGGCAACAAATGTAAAGGGGAAGAAAAGTACTTGGGATCATTCAAAGCCAAGGGGACAGAGGAAAGGGAAATACCGCAAGAATGAAAACTTAAGAAGGAGCCAGTGAAATGAAGCAATGTTAAGGAGGGCATCTGACAGCATTTGAACAGCAACACAATACTAAAATGCTTTAATTGGATTATTGCAGATGACAAAAAAAAACTGGTGGTGCTGTTGATGGCAAAGAGGATCATCTCAAATTACAATCTGATATTGATCAGCTGGCAAATTGGGTAGAGCAATGGCAGATGAAAATTAGCCCTAATAAGTGTGAGGTGATGCATTTTGGGAGGTCCAAATTGGGAAGAATTTACACAATGGATGACAGTTCCCTGGGGAGTACTGAGGAACAAAGGGACCTTGGTGTACAAGTCCATGGATCTCTGAAGGTGTCAGCACAGGTAGGCAGGTTGGTGAAGCATGTGGGATGCTTGCCTTCATTAGCTGGGGCTTAGAATAAAGGAGCAAGGAAGTCTTGTTGCAACTTTATAAAACATTGGTTAGACCACAGATGGAATACGGTGTGCAGTTCTAGTCACCACACTAGCATAAGGATGTGATTGCACTGGAAAAGGGTGCAGAAGAAATTCACCAGGTTGTTACCTGGGATGAAAAGTCTCAATTAGGAGGACAGACTGGATAGGCTGGGTTGGTTTTCCCTGGAGCGGAGGTGGTTTGAGTAGGGGCGGGAGGAAAAGAGAGGTGTGTGCACTGATTGAGGTATACAAAATGATGAGAGGCATAGACAGGGTAGATCATGTGAATCGTTTCTCCATGGCAGACATATCTAAAATCAGAGCGGACAAATTTAGGGTGAGAAGTTTAGGGTGAGAAATATGGAATATGCTGCCTGAGGGGGTGGTAGAAGCAGGTACTATTTCAGCAGTGAAGCAGTATCTGGAGGAGCACAAAATGCCAGGCATAGTAGGCTATGGATCAAGTGCAGGTAAATGGGATCAGTATGAGTTCGGTTTTTGTGGTCAGCGGAGACATTGTGGGCTGAAGGAAATGTTTCTCTGCTGTATGACTCTTGGGAAAAGGATGGTTAAACATGGGAGTTTAAGAAGGAAAAAAAGAAATAAAAGCTCTCATGAGGAATTAAAGTGAGGGCAGTGAAAGACAACTGGAAGGGAAAGTGGCTGAGTGAAGAGTAAATTAAATGGAAAATGAGGTCTGTTTGCTTGCAATGTTTACAAATGTGGGAACTAGGTTTAGGTCAAGGAAGTGGTTTACAGCCTCAGAAAAGGCAGGAACTTAAGCGCAGTCAGAAGTCAGAAGTCAGGAGATCAATGAGATTACAGCTACCATTAGAGACTGAAGGTATTGTCCTATGATACCATGCACTGGCTATAAAATGCAGACAAAAATAAGATCATAGGAAACAAATAAGGGCAGATTAGTCTGGACAAAGGAATAGGCTGAAGAGTAAGGGGAACTGTAGTTGTAATGGGGGGATAGTAGGAACTGCAGATGCTGGAGAATCTGAGACAACAAGGTGCAGAGCTGGATGAACACAGCAGGCCAAGCAGCATC